AAAAATATATATATTTTTTTTTTTGGTACTTTTTTTTTTTATATATAAATATATTTAATACTTTAAAAATACGAAACGCATTATGACGCTTATTCTTCACATTGACACGCCTAAACTTGTGATTCTTGATTCTCGGACTCGACGCATCGCAACGCATTACGCATTTTAGAACATTGGTCAGAATACGCCAGTTACTCTAAACTTTCTACGTGTAGGTTTAAGAGATTTGTATTCTATAAGATATAATTTATTGCGAAATTAAATAAACATAAAAACCAGATGTAACATGATAAACCTTTAAGGGAACCATCCACGGGCTCCCATGCCTCGGGTAAAATAATCCACCATCAAAGAATAAAAAATATAATAGTTTCGGTTTAGTAATTTCGTAAAATTAACTAAAACAATCAAAAGAAAATAAAGAACAACTCCCTTGTTTTTTTATTCCTTTTGACTTGTTGGAGAAGTGGANNTTCCTTTTGACTTGTTGGAGAAGTGGAATCAAACACTTTGATCTTGACTTTCTCACCACTTCATTATTGTATTTGGCCATTACCACCACTTAAGATTAAGATTCATTAATCTTAACTCACGCCAAGTAACCTGATCTTTGAGTAGGATTATATCATTCACACAATGATATGTTCTCTCCAATTATGGTTCTTGAACACGATTTTTGCTTCAAGATACTTTAATGGAAACCAGCCGGTCAGAACTCACTGGAGATGGTCAGAAGACTTCAGAACTTGCTACTGTAGGTTTGTCCGACATAGGAAGATTTTTCTCAAAGCATTCGAACGTGCCTTAATGATTTTCTCTACTTGTGTAGAGATTCTTCCAAAGCACGAATGCGTCTTATCTAAAATATGAAAGTTTTGTACGGTAAGAATAATATTGAATATGTTTGATATGGTCAATAATTAAGAGTACTCATTGATAATGGAGCAGCTATAAACACCATCCTGTCCAGAATAATGAGGAAGTTTGCAAAGACAAAGTGATATGATTCTAACAGAAGTCATCCTTACAAGTTTCAATGGAGGAGCAACTTCGGCTAAAGGGGTTATGCCACTGGACATAACTGTAGGGGGAACTAATAGGACTACAGTCTTCTTTGTAATAGATGGTCCTACTAGTTACAATGTGCTACTAGGAAGGGATTGGATCCATGGGAGTCGCTGCATACCTTCATCGCTCCACCAGTGCCTGATCTTCTGGAACGACAAAGGCGAAGCAGAAGTGGTGCAGGCAGATCACAGACCCTTTGTGGCAGAAGCAAACTCGGTGGAAANTGGTGCAGGCAGATCACAGACCCTTTGTGGCAGATGCAAACTCGGTGGAAAGGTTCATGTACGAAGAAAATTATGGACCTGTCAGGATAGTCCAAGATGGAGAAGAGACTCAAATTGTTGCACAGAGCGAAGAGTCATTTTCAGTGGATACACTTACTGAAGTGTTTAGTCAAATGAAGCCAAACATAGTGGCCCTACAAGAGCAGGTAATTGGGAAAAAGGTAATCAAGGAATTTAAAATGAGTTGTAAGCAACAAGGGCAAATGGCCTATGTTCAGGCCTTCAAAGCCAAGTTAATGGCTTTCAATAAAGAATGTAAAGACAAGGGAAAAGAAGAAGGAACATTAAAAGCGTTGAGAAACAAATTGGCAGTGTTTGACTTGGAACAGAGTATTGGCCGAGAAGTCAACAAGGTAGATTGTTTACAAGAGGAAGTGCTTATAAGGAACATGGACGATAAAATAATGAGGATCACCAAACCTGGATACGCTCAATCACAAGACCCTCTAATCAAAGTTAATATTGGCGATGAAGGGGAAGATCGCCCAACATTTATCAACCAGATGCT